CTCCTCTCGGGATCATGGGCACGCACGCACACGCGCCCGGTGTGAGTTTAAGCCACTGGGTCCGAGGCTTAAACGCACACGCGCCCGGTGTGAGTTTAAGCCACTGGGTCCGAGGCTTAAACGCACACGCGCCCGGTGTGAGTTTAAGCCACCGGGTCCGAGGCTTGAACGGTGGTCGACTACATGGGAATTCAGCTACGCAGCCATTACGCTAACTGTTGGTCCCCCACCCACCCCCCACCACCACTAAGCTTTTGAAGTGTAAGTCAGATCACATCAGTCCCACAGCCTCTTCCCCAACTGAAAACCCTCCAGGAGCTTCCGAATCAAGGTCCACCTCCTTAAAATGGTCCACCTTTATCCTTACCACTCTCGTTTGCTCCATTTCATAACACTCATTTCCTTGCTTTTTTTAAATTTTATTTTTGAGAGATTTTTGTTACAGAGTGCATACCCTTGCTTGCAGGACAGAGAAACAGAAAGCAAGAAATCACCCCCAGGGTGAATGGTCACCCGCAATTGTTTCTCCTCTATTCTCCTCTCAGTATCGGGCATGGATGCTCACGCAACTGGTGTGAGTTTAAGTCGCCAGGTCCAGGAAGCAAACCACGGTCGACTACATGGGAGTCCAGTGAAGTAACCATTATGCCATTTGCTGGTCCCTCTCCTCACTTTTAAATACACAAAGGTCCTACCCGAGGACCTTTGCATTTGCTATTTTATCTTTTCTTTTGAGAGAGAGAGAGATTTTGGCTATAGGGTGTGTGTGTTCACCAGAGAGACACAGAAAACCCGTGAGAAATCACAGATGGCCATGCTGCAATCCCTTCTCCTCCATTCTTTTCTCAGGATCTTTGGCACTCATGCACACACGTCTGGCGTCAGTTTTAAGCTGCCAAGTCCAGGGCTCGAACTGTGGTCAAACTGGGATATAAGTCCAGTGACGTAACCACTATGCCATCTGCTGGTCCCCATTTGCCATTTCTTCTCAAAAAGCTTCCCCCCCACATATGGGCACGCTGGGCTTCCTCATTTATTTCAGATTTCTGCTCAGAAGCTACCTCACCATCTTATCATTGGGTGTTACCTGACCGTCTCATTTAAGATGGCAAGCCCACCTCTTCTCCCTCAGTTCCTGGTACCTTTTTAGCCTCATACCTTGCTCACTTTTCCTCCATATACATCTGAATACTTATTTCCTTGTTTGTTGATGAATCAGATACTGATATATTAAAAAAAAAAAAGTTCGTTCTTGCTTACTTCAACTCCCTGCTTTCTGAGTAGATGACTTCTCAATTAAAGGCTAATTTACCAGCTTCTCTGGGTTCAATGAGATGTGAATAGAAGCTGTATGCGTTTCTTATAGTTTGTGACCTAAAAAGAATATATGGATGTGTTGTGTGTCTTGTGTCTTTCTGGCACTTATCTAAGGTATGCTTTATAGATGGATAGAATTCCATTATCCTAGTGGTGGTGCATGATACCTATAGAAAAAGGCATGCCCTGTGAGCCATGACACACATCTGCCGCTAAGCCCCTCCTTGCTCATCAGCCCATTTGCTTAACAACCTAGTTAAAGTCATTAAATGAGGAGTGCCTATATATGTGTATCCTATTTTTTATCCATTTGTTTATTGATAGACAGGAGAGGGGACTCTGCATCTTGGCTATTGTGAAAAGTGCTGCAGTAAACACTGGGGTGCAAATATCTTCCCAACACAACCAATTTCCTTTCCTTTGGATATATGCCTAGCAGAGGGAATGGTGGATCATCCAGCAGTTCTATTTCTAATTTTTTGAAGCCTCCTTAATGCTGATAATGGAAATTATTCTTAAATGTATATGTATATATACATATAAATTTAAATACATACATATATATATATGTATATAGTCTCCCCTCCCTCCCACAAGAAACAGCAAATCTGTGTAAATACAATTTTAGGATTAGCATGAGAGTTAACCAAGTTAAAACAAATTCCAATCTTTAACCTGGAGAAAAAAGGTCTGTTCATTTGTCTCTGGGAAGTTTATTTAATAGTATTTATGATTGTGGGGATGTGTTTGGAAGGAAAAAGGGGCATAACAAATCTTTTTGGTATATGCAAATGATTTATAGCGGGGGGAAAAATAGAAAGATAATAAAAGCAAACAAACCCATGGCCATGGCATGAAGAAATGATATATGGATTCCACGCATGACTGAGTCGTTTAGATTGAGCCCATTGATGGAACTGTGGCCCCATACAGCACAGAGATATCAAGTAAATGTATTTGACCCTCCCCAGAATGTACAGGAATGATGTGTTCCTAAAACGTTCTGGGTGTGTGACTATATCGTGTTATTACTAACAAGTTCAGGCTCTTGAGACAGACCACCTGCTGTGTAACCAGCTCTGCTTTTCTTTTTCTGTTTTTTCGAAACAACTGAAGGCTGTTCTCTGAAAAGAACATTATAGGGTTAACCCTTCAGTGTATTTAATATCAAATGTGAAAAGATACATAGGTAATCATGATACAGAAGATAATTAAAATGATATATATTTTAATATGAATGTATTTGTAAATATAGACAAAATCTTGACTTTCCCAAATTACCGAAGTTGGTCCAAGAAAAGGATACCGGGATAAAAAATAACTAGAGGAGAATCTGGAAGGGTAATCAAAATTCTCCTCTTAAAGGCAGCACCAGGCCTAGGCAGTTTTACCAACACTGAAGACAGACAATATTTACATCATATAAATTGATCAAGACAATAGAAAATGATTAAAAGCCACCCTACTGAGATCGTAAGGCAATGACAGCAACAGGTAACATTAAGTTTATGTGAAATAACCCATGTAATGCAAGTAAGTGCTTGGTACATGAAAATAATACAGTTTAGTTGTTATTATGTCCCATTTGTAGTGGAATGAGAGATAAAAGGGATAAGAAACAGAAATTCAAGAAGCTATTAGGTATAAAATTTAGACTTGAATTCTAATTTATCATGGTCAAAGCTTGTGAAATTTCCAAATATCGTTGGGTTAAAGTTAGAAAATTATTATTTTCTGGGCCAGCAGTGGTGGCACAGAGGTGACACAACACTGTCATGGGAAGGTCCCTGGTTCACATCCCGAGGGCTCCCTGTGCATACCGGGTGTGCTCACATGCCAGTGACCTGGACTGGCTGAGACTGGGCAGGGATCGCAGCGTGAAAACCCTGCTGGGAGGGATTGGTTTTCCTCTGTCTTTCATGGATGAGGTTGAAAAATTTTTTTTTAAACTTAAAGAAGATGATTATTTTCTACAATATATATGGTACTTATAAGCCTGATGTAATGCCTATTTCTTCTCTTCAAGGTCTTTTTCTGCCCTTCCAGAAGAAGTGGGCCTCAAAGTCACAGCCAGGCTCCAGATGAATCCTGCTGCACCGGAGAGCATGTTGGGGATTCCTGAAAATTATCTTCTTTAATTCATTTTTCTAGAATGTCTAAACCAATTACTTCTAGTCTTAAGAGATTTTTTTTTCTTCCTCCATTAACTCCCATATCCCATCAGGAATCTTTTAACATTATGTCACTTCACAATTTATTTTTTTTCCATCCTAAGTTGTAAGGTGAAGAAGTTATTGGGTTGTTGAGGAGGTTAAGATACATTTTTGTATAGAAAAACAGGGAAAAGCTTCATGACTTTCCCGATGACCTAACATTATGGTACTTAGTGTGATATGGAGATGAAGGGAGAGGGCAGGAAGATGAGTTTCTTATCCTCTGGGGTTTTATACCTCCCTGACCCAACTTAACAAACTAAGAAATGAGGAATAAAGAGAGAAGACAGCAAACAGCTCTATGGAAGCCTCGATTTTTCCACTTGGCAACTTATTTCTCTTTTTACATTCTGCTTTTTTGCCACTCTTAATATACAGTTCTTTCAGTTTTTACATTCTTAAAAGACTGGTGATAACCACTTCTTAAGATTTTAATAATATTAGTTATAGTAGCTCCTAAAAAATGAAGGACCTAGAATAAATCTAATAACCCTCCTAGACAAAAATTGTTAACACTGTTGTTAGACATTAACAATGACATAAATAAATAGTTATATCTTATTCATCGACTTAAACAGTGAACATCATAACGATTGATGTCCCTTATCCTCATCCCCACCCCATTCCAAAAAAGATCTACAAATTCACTCAATCCCATTTAAATCCAATACTTTTCGCAGAAGAATTTGACAAAGTTAATCTTTCTTGAAACCCATTTTCTCTTGTTTTCTTCCCACTTCACTGACTCTTCCTCATCAATATCATCTCTTGTGCACAGCCTCTGAAATCTGACAGGCCTCTAGGCTCAGCCTTAGACCCATTTCTGTTTTCTCCTTACATTGTCTTTTTCAGTCTCACAGCTTTAAATACTACCTGTGAGGGAAATTCACATAATTCATGGAAAAGGGAACTAAAGTATTTTCTATGATGCAAAAAAAATTTTAAAATCCAGTTTTTGTTTTTTTGAGAGGTTTTTGCCATAGGGCGTGTGTGCACTCGCCAGACGGACAGAGAGAGACAGAAAGTGAGAAATCACCCCCCAGGGGGGATGGCCACGCTGCGATCCCTTCTCCATTCTCCTCTCAGGATCTTGGGCACGCATGAACACGCACCTGGCGTGAGTTTTAAGCCACCGGGTCCAGGACGCGAACCGCAGTCGACTACATGGGAGTCCAGCAACATAGCCATTACGCTAACTGCTGGTCCCAGGAATTGGTTTTTAAATTGCCACAGGTGGTGTGTACCTGCCAGAGACAGAGAGAGGAGAAAGCATACCAGTGGGGCATGGTCATGTCACAATCCCTTGTCCTCCATTTCTCCATCCTGTTGGGGTTTTGGGTACCCACCCAGAGGACTTGCATGCTTTTTTCCAATTCAAACCCCAGCTGGCCCTGTAGGATCTGGCTCCCTTTATCACTAGGCTATAGGGCTAGCTCACTAATAGGGATCTTAAATAATATACGAATATAAAACTTTTTTCTTACTACTTCCTCCTCTGTTTCAGCTTGCTCTTTCACAGTTCAAGGAAATGTTTATTGCTCTGATCCAAAGTCTAGTTTTCGTCCACTCCTCTTAAATTCCCCACGTGTAATCAGTCAGAAAGCTTTGTCGGCACTTCCTACAAAACATAATCCAAGTGTGGCCACAATAGCTCACTGCTACCTCACTGGTCCAGGCTGCCAGAAACTGCCAGGATCTTACCGGGTTGGTAACTCTGCTTTCTTGCTTTCATTGTCTTTCTACAGGCCTGGGGATCTGTCTCGAACTAAGACTGGTGCCAGTGAGGACTGTCAAACACTTCTCAGACAGCTGCCAGCTATGCCTCCATTCTGTCTGGTTTTCAAGGCCTGGTATAGCTAACCCTTGGCTCCTCCTAGGGGAAAATTCCTAAATCCCGAAGGCATGGAGACAGGAAAGCCCCAGAACGAAACATGCTATTTCCCTTTTCATTCCAAGGCAGTTGGTCCACTTCAGCGATTCTTTCTAGGCTAGAAAGAATCTGTTTTAGTGATCTAAAACAGACCTGGACTCTGGTGGGGAAAGCTTCTGTGATCTTCCAAAGAGTTTAGAATTCTCCGTGTCTGGCCTGGAAAGTGAGAAATGACCCCTAACTGACCACCCTCCTCCTAACCCGTTACCTGTTTTGCTCCAAACCTGGCCACTACAGGGCATTGTGCGTAGGCTTGGAAGCCCCGGAGACTACAGGGTGGGCTCAGGACTCCCGGCAGGTGAAGCCTCAGGAGTCCAAGAGACCCTCAGTGCGGCTTCTGCCAGGCCTGGGGGCGAGCTCCCCCGCCCCTCACCCACCACCCCACCGAGAAAAAGCAGCATGACCCACCCTCCTTGCCAACTGCATCAGACCCCTTCCGGGGTCTGGTTCTGAATCCTAGAAACTTATCCGGGATGGGGCAGGACGCGGTTCCCTAACTCGCTCTGGAGCAACGGTAGAGGAGCCGGGCGCCTTGCCCGCCGGCGTGCTGGTTCTGCAACCCTGTCCCCTCCGCCTCCGACGTGATGGAGCCGGCTGGGGAGGTCTGTGCGGCCATCTCGCAGTCCCCACCCACCCCGCTCCCTGCCGCCGTCCTGGCTTGCGGCTGCCTTTTCTTTAGATCTCTCTGGGCTGGCGGAGAAGGTGGGCGTTCACACCGAGCAGCGACCTCTTCTATGGTTTCCGGGGAGGCGGTGGCCAAGCGCTCCCAGCAGCCCCTGCGCTAGGCGGCAGCGGCTGCAACCTCCGCGGGAGTCCGCAAGGGGGCGCAGCGCCGGGTCGCGGACTGGCGGGTCAGCCCGGCAGGTTCCGCTCAGCTGTGGGAGCTGCTCCTCGGCGCGCACCCGCTTTCCCGCGATACTTCCACCGTATCCGAGAGTTCCAAACTGCCCACCCCAACTAAACAATTACGTCAGGATTTGGGGGGCTACCCAGGAAACCCGGACGACCACTCGCCTACCACCGCCACCAACCCCCTCCAGAGCTTATTTCTCGCTCTTGCCGGCTCTGGGAAAGTAAATTTCTCCCGGGAGTTTTTTGGGGAAGGTTACAGCAAAGCGTGCGCCCCTCGGCTTTTGCGTCAGTTCGGTTCCCGCACACTGGCGGCGGTAGGTAAGCATCGGTGGCGGGCAAAGGCCTCAATGTGCGCCCGAGGCCACCGGGTGGCGCCAGCGGCCCGCCACCGGACACGCTCGGAGCGGGACGCCTCCGCCAGGTCCGGGGCTTTGTCAGTGCTCTGTCCCTCTGGAAGCCCAGTTCTAGCCGCTAGTTCAGTGTCAGCTAACCAACCGTTGCTACGTAGGTTACTTATTCTAGTAAATAAGTAATAGAGTGTTAAGGACATTTCTAACCGTGCAAACCCCCAAGCTGCAGGGCTGGGAAGCCCAAAGCCCCTCAGGGGGTCATTAGGAGGATAGCAAGTGAGAATACTATCCACTCCTTGGTTCTTAGGCTCATTCAGTCTTCCTCCTGGGGACACAGTGCATACATACCATGCTGGAGGGTGGGACTTCAGCTGTGCCTTCTGCAGGTGGCCCAACTCTATTAAGGCGGTGCCTTTTGGGCCACATGGCATGTGATTTGGTCAGTGGGTCTTGAAGCCGTGGGCCACTCCTGCACTTTCTCCTATGCGAAGTGGCCTGATTAAATGCTATGTGTACAGGGTTCCATGCCTAAGGGCCAGGGATTCCAGAAGCCCCTGAATAGTGTCTGTCTAGGACCTTCATAAGAAATAAAGGCAAATCCATACTTGGAAAATGTGTTGGTTATTGTGAGAAAACAAAACAGAACTGATGGCCTTTCCAGGATGGAAGGGGCCCAGTGTTGTCAACTGGATAAAATGGAGTGGTTGGTGTCCTCAGGGTATAGCCTTATCAGAGGCTCAGCCTTGGTCTCTGTTGCTGGCAGATTGAACGTTTAGAGGAGTTGATCGCTAAATCAGCCTTGGTAGGTGGGTGTTGCACTTTGGGGCCCTATATAGTGGCTGCTCTATTTATGTGTCCATTATTTCAGCAGGGGGACTGGGGACAAACTAGGAAATATTGTCTGGATGGTAATTTTGTCTACTGCTGTGTGCTGCTTCCTTGGGGAGTGTTCTCTGGCTAACGTGGTACAAAGATCCCATGTCATGGCTGCTCCAACCCCTCTACCCACATCCTTCTACCCCAGACTTCCCTTGTCTTTAGCCTTCCAGTCTTTCTTTTCTCCCAGGTTCCTGGATCAACCAGTCAGGCCATTTGCCAGTGACCCTCAAGTCTGTATGACTTCCATCCTTGGGTCATTTCTCTTTTTACAGCGGGTAACTTGGTTCAGTAGCTGAAACTGACTATGGGGAGAATTTCTCCACTACTGTCTTTAAAGGCCTCTCTTGAGTTGCTATCAGTTTTCTTTTTCTTTTTTTTTTCAAGAGATTATAGGGCATGGGCACTCATAAGAGACACAGAGAGAGACAGACAGGTAGTGAGAAATCACCCCTCAGGGGGGATGGCTGCAGTGCAGTCCCTTCTCCTCTTGAGATTTTGGGCATGCACACACATGCGTCCAGTGTGAGTTTTAAGCTACTGGGTCAGGGACTCAAACCGCCAACAACTACATGGGAGTCCAACGATGTAACCATTATGCCATCTGCTGGTCCCAAGTTGCTGTGGGTTTCAATCTGCAACCTCATACTGAGTGGCTTCACTCATACCCTCGCCGTCTGGAATTCAGGCTTTCCTAGAGGTCCCTCTGAACTTGCTGGTCATTACGACGGCCGCACTTTCCTGGCTTCTGGTGGCTGAGCACTCCCATCCAGCCTCGTCCGGCCTCATTTGGCCTCGTTGCCTTGGAGTGCTGTCATCCTCGTCCCCGTAGCTGTCAGTGAGCCACGTTCTGTGACTCCCCTCCCGCCATCAGCGCTGGTCACAGGAGTACTTCCATCGAATGTTTCAGAGATTCTTATAACCTTACCACCACGTGTTCCACACTGCTTTGGTAGAAGATATATTTCCTTTAAATCCTTCCATGAAACTTACACATCTAGTGGCTCTTCTGGTCACACTAAGTAGCTTTGTTAAGGGTGCCCACCTGAGTCTTTTAACCCCTTCCTTTACTATCTCTCCTGGCATTTCAACTTTGCTTAGTATTGGCCATAACATTCTCCACCCCAGGAGTCATCCTAGTAATGAGTTGGCTCCAGTCCTGTATCTCAGGAGAGAACTCCCAAGTCAATAAACCTTTCTCCATCCAAGTCTATGCTCTGGCTCCTTGACCAAGCCCCCTCAGAATCCAAACCTATGTGTTCTCCAGGCTCCTGTGGGTGAGTGAAGGCTAGCTTTTGCACTCCTCTGGGTTAAGTCCAGTTCCTTCCCTACTGGGCCCCAGCTGGGTTACGCTGTGGCTTCGCCCTTCTAGTGGTAGGCGGAGAAGTGGGGGTTACCTAATAAGATAATCAGGCTGGACTTTTCTGAGATGTTTTCTAAGTTCAGATGGCACTTATGCTTGCTGGAGAGAAAGAGAAAAAAAAAAAGAGAGAGAGAAAGAACATTTCCCCCTCCATGGGGTATGGTCACACCACAATCCCTTCTCTATTTCTCCCTCCTTTCAGGATTTTGTGCACACATGCCCATGTGCCTGGCATGTTTCTCAAACCACTGGGTCGGGGACTTGGCCATGTGGGATCAGCCCACCTTACCCACCATATCATGACTGGCCCAACTTCCAAGATTTTAAAGATTTCTTTAGAGTAGGTCTCATTTGAAATAATCCTTGATTATGAATTTTCAGACGTATGCCAGCTCATTTATTTGCTTTCAGAGTTCTGTGCTATGAGACGTGCGGTTCTAGTGTCCTTGACCTTTTGGGGTTCGTGCTGGCACTCATGCAGACAGGAAAGGGAAGGGGAGGGGACTGTCCAGATCCGAGGGCGCCTACGGAGCTGCTGCTACTCTCCTTCCTGGGCTTTCTTCTCCTGTGTCCTTTCCTGCGGCTCTTCTGCTTGTTCCTGACACTTCAGCTCTTCTTCTAAATATCTATATTTCTTAAAGGAAGTTATCTCCTTCCCATGATCAGAAGCCAAAAGGATTTCCAAATTCCACCTTTTCTTTCTTTGTAGTTCTTTATGTGTTGCCACACAGAGAGCCGTGTCCACCAAAAACATTATTATCACTGTCAGATAGAAAAGGACAGGAAACCAGACAGGAACTGGTGACTGGAGGCCTGAGAAAGAAAAAGACAATGAGAAGAGACACCACTTAGAACCCCGAGAGGTCCGGTTGGTTTATGAGTGGGAGAGGAGGTTGTCTGAGGCCTGCTGGACCTATTCCTCATGGAGGCATCATTGTTTCAGGAGGCAGGAAGGGCCCCGAGAGAGCCCCAGCTGGGCTGCACAGTGTACAGATGGGGCGCAGGCCTGGGAGAGTTTAACTTCCCGGCCCGCGTCGATGGACTCCCTAATTTTAGAGACAACTGCTCTTTCTGTGCCATTTAATGCTTGACATGAATTTGGGCTGGAAATTTCAACTTTTTTTTTCACAAAGACTCTGTTCTGGGGCTCACGATCCCTCTGCCTCAGTTAGAGAAAGACAATTGGCCGGGTAGTGGGGAGAGAAAACTAATAGAGAAATAATAAAGTCTCCTTTTCAAATAGAGCTGGGAGGCCATTTCTGGAACCCGACTAATGCATGTCCATTTGGCTTGTGAGCGCCGGTGGCCTTCACCCTTGCAAGCATCTGGAATGACCGAGTAACTGCATGATGTCAGGAAGTGTCAGTTATTTGTCAAGATGTATCAAACTCTCATTTAATGGACATTTGCTTGCCTACCTACATCTTCCCTTTATCTTTTACTGGTCACATACCCTGGCATCCTTTCCAGCGTCAGTGGAGAGTTCTTTCAGAGCACTTTTCAGTGTCCTGGTCGAGATTTAAAGCTTTGGCCTTTCTAAGCCCTCACTCTCCCTTAGTTCTTTGAAACCCTCTTTCACTTCCAGCCAGATCTGTGCTTCCTGAGTTGCAATTCCTAAGACCCTCTGTAAAGACTTTTGTTCTTCATGGTTTCAGACTTTGAAATTCCTTGACACAGTTAATGTGCTCTCTCGGAAATCTACCCCGTGAGCTCCTCAAAGCAGAACCCTCCCCAGCGTCTTCGTGTCCCCAGACCTATGACAGTAGATGGGGGAACTCAATCACTGGGTCGATTGCTGAGGGAGGAAAGGAAGAGGCAGAGAGAAAGAAGACACAGGGAGGGTAGGGAAGTGGGTCTGGAAACAGAGTACGAGGGAGAATAGAAAATGAAGAAGAAAAAAAAGGAAGAACAAAAGGGAAGAAAGACATGGAGGAAGGAAAGAAAAGTGAATGTAATGCTATTTGTGAAAACAGTGGAAAGGCCTCTCAGGCTTTCCCTGAAGGGACCTCCTCCTCCAGGCTGGGCTCTGACACTCGTGAGCAAACCCCAGTCCCACAGGAGAGAGGCCCCATCTCATGCCAGCAGCTTCCTGTCATTCTCACTCACCGAGCACTTGGACCTCCAGCTCAGGGCTGTGCTTCACGATATCTCCGTCTTGCGTGGCCGCCTGGCACCAGTATAACCCAGAGTCTTCTCTGCTCGTGGTGAGCATCTGGTATTGGGAGGACGTGTTCCTGCCCCTCAGGGTCTTGCTGCCCACGTGGAAGGAGAAGAAAAGCTGCACACCAGGCCTCTGCGAGAGCACCTTCGTTTCGCAGCTCAGGTTGACCGGACTGCCCTCCAGGAAGGGGGAGGGCGAGGATGCTGTCAGCACTGGAACGGTAAATAGCTCTAAAGACAAAATCCACAGGGAGGGGCAGGGTTGTCTGACTCAGGGTTAAGGCTCTTTTCACAGAAGATATAACCCTCTCCCCACTAAGGAAACTTGCCTAGCAAATTCGTTCGTAATGCATAATTTTTCCACTTCTAACACAGTGGCTTCCTTGGGGTTTGCTACTATTAATTGATATCACTACAGTTTCCAGCTTGCTTGCATCCTATTGAGGAGAATATCTCTACGTGGCCCACCCTTCACACAATGGCCATCTTATTTATTATACAACCATTTCCTTTGGGCAGCTGTCACCCAGGAGTAGATGCTGGCCTACACACATGCCACTTCAGTGACATATTACCTGTATTCCTTTTTTTTTTTGGAGAGGTTTTTGCTATAGGGCGCGTGCGCTCGCCAGACAGACAGAGAGAGACAGAGAGACAGAAAGCGAGAAATCACCCCCCTGGGGGGATGGCCACGCCGCAATCCCTTCTTCTCCATTCTCCTCTCGGGATCTTGGGCACGCACGCACATGCGCCCGGCGTGAGTTTAAGCCACCAGGTCTGGGACTCAAACCGCGGTCGACTACGTGGGAGTCCAGCGACATAGCCATTACGCTAACTGCTGGTCCCCTGTATTCTTGACTCAAAAAGTAATCTAGGACAATAATTTCTTGAGAATTAACTTTCTTTTTTCTTTTTTATAGACAGGAAGAAGTTGTGAGTGGTTGTTGAGTACCAAGCATTGCAGCAAGGGCCATGTGCAAACTGGATTAGAAGGTACTCGGTTTGCAGATACTTAAAGAGAAATGAGGCCAGAGAGGCCATATTGTCTGAGAGACAGAAAGTCTGACCAGTTCCTAATGTCTTCCTGGGTTCTATTTCTACCGAGCTTTCATGAGATTCCATTGGATTACTTTCTAGCAAATCTCCTAGCTACCTTGAATGAGTCACTATTCCTTGCAACTGAAATTATACTGATGAAATGGATCTTTACTATGCCCTGCATTAACTCCTGCAGTTTTGGACAGGGTATCGTAGTATTCTGGAAAGAGCAGTAGACTAGGACCCAGCGACCTCACTTCTGGCCCAGCCACTGGTCATTGTGTGGCGGTCAGTAAGGAGCTTAGTTTTTCATTTGTAAATTGATGTGAGGGTTTTAGATGATTCTGAGGGTCCAGCTGGCCCTTAACACCTGCAGCTCTAGGGCTATTCGGGTACAGTACCTTTCACTGTGACAGATACTCCCGCTGACATGTAGCGGTGCATTCCCATGCCGGAGCAGCGATAGATGCCATTGTGACTTACGTTGGTTTTCGGAATGGTGAATTTAGAACTGTGAGGTGAAAACTTAAAGGTTTTTCCGTTTCGATAGAAAAGCACGTTGTATACCAGCTTATTCTCCCATCCATGACACCTCAAGGCCAGAGGTTCTCCTTCGGTGAAGACTCTGCCAGAGACTTGCAGTAGCAGCCAGTCTGAAAATGTGGACCCAGAGTGGAGTGTTAGTATCCACTGGAAGAGAAAGGAGGAGGCTAAGCTCAACCTGGGGGCTTTCTTATCTTTACCTTCTTGCAAAATTCCATCCTCACATCTGCTGAATCTGAGGCCTGTGTCCCATTCCTAATATCCTTAGCTTTGGTGAGAAGAAAAGAATCGCTACCAGCAGCTCTGCATACAACCCCTTCTTATTTTCCCTTTCCAGATCTCAGGAGTGTGTTGGGACAAAGACAATTTACTCTCTGTGGTCAGCAGAACTCTAAGATGACCCGCCGAGTCACCCCCTTGCCTGATCCCCTTGTGTGCTGGTGGAGTCTACGACTTGCTTTTAGCCAGCAGAATACGACAAAGGCCACGGGCTGTCACTCTCACGGTGGCTATATTATGTAAGACTCTGTCTTAGCAGACTGGGTGGAGAGAGTCTCCTGCTGGCCTTGAAGAAGGAAGCTGCCCTACTGTGAGAAGGTCACATGGCAGGGACCTCTAGGTCCTGAGAGTGGCCCTCAGTTAACAGCCAGCAAGAAAATGGGAGCCTCGGTCCTACGACTATAAGGAATCCAGTTCAGCATATGACCATGTGAAATCGGAAGAACTCCCAGAAAGAACACAGCCCCATTTGCAGCCTTGGCAGCGGAGTAGAGCACCCGGCTAAGCTGTGCCAGGACGCCCAACCCATGGAAACTGGGCGATGATAAAGGTACGTTTATTGACTGAGCAGTGATAGACGCTATGTATTAAGCTCCTGATTTTATGGCAGTTTGTTACATAGCAATAGAAAATTAATAGACTCGAACTCCTGATGTATTTGTTAATAGGACCACACATCCTAAGACAAACACACCGAGTGACAAACATACCCAGTTATATATATCCTACCGACTTGGTAAGAATGATCACATATATGCAGATCACTGACATAGTTAGCCGAAACACGCTTCAAGTCAAACGGGCCAGCAGGTGACATAGTGCTTAAGGCACTGGACTCCCACATAATCAGCGGCAGTTCGAGTCCCAGACCTGGCAGCTGGAAACATGCTGGGCACATGTGCTTGGGATTTTTCCCAAGAAGAGAATGGAGGAGAAGGGATTACAGCATGGCCATCCCCCCCTGGGGGGTGATTTCTTGCTTTCTGTCTGTCTTTCAGGCAATTGCATGTGCCCTATTGCAAAAATCTCTCTCTCTCAAAATAAATAAATAAAAGAAAATAGTTAAAATAATTCTTTCTTTATATACTTTTTAAACATACATAAATAGTTATAAAAATGGAACATGTACTAAGGTACAAAGCAATTTTCAATAAATACCAAGGAATGGCCCTTTCCCCTGGCTGGCAGTGCGGAGGCCGCACGATGCCTGGAGTTACTGTAAAAGACGTGAACCAGCAGGAGTTCGTCAGAGCTCTGGCAGCCTTCCTCAAAAGGTCCGGAAAGCTGAAAGTCCCTGAATGGGTGGACACTGTCAAGCTGGCCAAGCATAAAGAACTTGCTCCCTACGATGAGAACTGGTTCTACACACGAGCTGCTTCCACAGCACAGCACCTGTGCCTCCGGGGTGGTGCTGGGGTTGGCTCCATGACCAAGATCTACCTGGGATGTCAGAGAAATGGGGACTGCCAAAGCCACTTCAGCCGAGGCTCCAAGAGTGTGGCCCGTCAAGTCCTTCAAGCCCTGGAGGGGCTAAAAATGGTGGAAAAGGACCAAGATGGGGGCTGCAAACTGACACCTCAGGGACAGAGAGATCTGGACAGAATCGCCGGACAGGTGGCAGCTGCCAACAAGAAGCATTAGGACAGATGATGCTGGTATAGTAAATCGCCTCATTCGTAAAAATAAATAAATAAATAAATACCAAGGAACTGATAGCATATTTAACAGAAATTCTGACCACAGCCTTGAAAATGGAAATCTATAGCAAAATGTCACCCTACAATACTTCTTTTTTTTTTTTGAGAGGTTTTTGCCATAGGGCATGTGCGCTCACCAGAAAGACAGAGAGAGACAGAGAGACCGAAAGCGAGAAATCACCCCCCAGGGGGGATGGCCATGCCGCAATCCCGGGTCCGGGACTCGAACTTCAGTCAACTATGTGGGAGTCTAGCAACATAGCCATTACACTAAGTAAGTACTGGTCCCATACCCTAAAATACTTATAAATAATTCATGAGTTAAAAAATTAAAATGAAACAAAACAGAAGGAGCTCAGAAATAAAATGCAATGCCGACCCATATGCAAAGGTTACTGGTTCCCAGTGTGTCCAGAGACCTCCCTGAGTAAGCTGGGCATTTGTGTGCCCACGGCCCGGGGCTGGCCATGACTGAGGGTGTATCAGGGTGTTCAGACCCTATTGGAAGTGCGCTCTTTCTCTCTCTCTCTCTCTCAGTTTCACACATGGAAGAAATAAACTTAAAAAAACTTATAATTAAAAAAAAATTTAAACATTTTTTTGTGGTTTTTATTGCATTAGGGCACATGTGCTCACCGGAAAAAGAGAGCGAGAAACAATGAGAGAGAAAGTGAGAAATCACCCCCCGGGGGGATAGCCATGCCACAGTCCCTTCTCCATTCTTCTCCTGGGATCTCAGGGTCACATGCACATGTGCATCGTGTGAGTTTCAAGCCACTGGGTCTGGGACTTGAACCGTGACCAGCCATGTGGGAGTCCAGTGACGTAACTGTTATGCCATCTGCTGGCCCTGAAGGATTTAAAATTTTAATCTTGGGACTAGAAGATGGTGTAATGGTTGCATCCTGGACTCCTATGTAGTCGACTGCGGTTCGAGTCCTGTACTCAGTGGTTTCAAACTCACAACAGGCACTTGTGTGTGTGTGCCCAAAACCCTGAGAGGGGAATGGAGGAGAAGGGATTGAAGCATGGCCACTCCCCCCCAGGGATGATTTATCACTTTTTGTCTCCTTTGTCTCTCTCTCCCTCTCTCTGGCGAGCATACCCTATAGCAAAAATCTCCCCAATTTTAATCTTATCTCGATAATGGACTGTACTACACATCAAAATTATGGGCTGCAGCTTTTAGCGGACATTGCTAGTTTCCTATTCAGAAACCATTCCCCCAGCTCAGCTGTGGTGGCATGTGCTGGGAGGATGCTTCTGCTCCACAGGCTGAGGCCATGGGAGGCCCAGGTTCAATCCTGGTCACTCCTTAAGCCAGGCATGGTGGCGTGTGTCTGTAGTCCCAGGCACTTGAGAGGATGAGGCAGGAGGGTCACAACATGGTAAGACCTTATCCTGAAAATGAAAAACAAGGCTCTCTCAGTGGCCTGGTAATCAGGAAAGCCGGATCCCACTTGGCTGACCATGTGGTTTGAATCCTGGACCCAGCAGCCTAAGAAGCATGCTGAGTGCATGTGCATGTGTGTCCAAGGTCCCAGATGGAGGGAGGCACGGAGGAGACATGTGTGGCATGACCGTCCCCCATGGGGGGAATGCTTCCTCACTTTCCAGATTCTTTCTCTCTGGTGTGCACATAGACAGAAAAACTACAAAAACAGAAAACAAACAAACAAAAAAAAAACAAAGACAACCATTCTTCCATCTTTGCAGCCTTGGAGTAGGAAGGGGACGTGTGTTCCAAGCTGTATGTGAAGACATGGGTGTGCCAGCCGGCTGTATTATTTTTATTTTTGTCTCAGCACACACAGATGTAACTGAAGTGACTGAGAGCCAATATAACTACAACTGAATTCTTTACTTCTGACTGACTATAGCAACATATTTTTAAAATAGGACATATAGGGACCAGCAGTTAACGTAATGGCTATGTTGCTGGACTCCATGTAGTCGACCGCAGTTTGAGTCCTGGACCTGGTGGCTTAAACCCACGCCAGATGCGTGTGTGCCCAAGATCCTGAGAGGAGGATGGAGGAGAAGGGATTGCGGTGTGGCCATGAGTGATTTCTCACTTTCTGTCTCTCTGTCTCTCTCTGTCTTTCTGGTGAGTGCACCAGCCCCACTGTACAAAAAACCTCAAAAAAAAAAAAAAAAAAAAAAGGACATAGAGAGCACTAACCAAAAAACCTGATGTGTAGCACCGCAGTAAAATTAATAACTCCTTTTTTGGATAGGTTTTTGCTATAGGGTGCATGCACTTGCCAGAAAGAGACAGAGAGAGACAGAGAGACAGAAAGCGAGAAATCACCCCCGGGGGGATGGCCACACTGCAATCCCTTCTCCTCCATCCTCCTCTCAGGATCTTGGGCACGCACGCACGCACACACACCGGCATGAGTTTAAGCCACTGGGTCTGGGACTTGAACTGTGGTGGACTACATGGGAGGCCAGCGACATAGCATTACGTCCCAATAACTTTTATTCATTGAAAAAAAATTAATATGATAGTGAAAGGCAAACTAAAGAATGGGAAAAGATATTTGCAACACTTGAAAAAGGACTCATATCCAGAATATATAAAGAACTCCTATATAAATCACTAACAAAAAGACAGACATAGAAAAATTGGCAAAAAGACCTGATCAGATACTTTGCAAAAGAAAATGGCCAAATAGGCAATCAACATGTAAAAATGGCCATCACTGTCATCAGGGAAATGCAAATTAACAATGTGACCTTATTGCACATCTACCAGAATAGCAAAATGGAAACTATAGGAAGCTCCAATGTTGATGAAGATGGCGAACAACCAAAACTCTCTTCCTCTGTAGAAGTGTAATTTGGTTCAGCCTCTTCAAAAACCTAGGTAACAGGGACCAGCAGTTAGCATAATGGCTATGTCACTGAATTCCCATGTAGCCGACTGTGGTTCGAGTCCCAGACCCAGTGGCTTAAACTCACGCCGGGTGCGTGTGCATGCATGCCCAAGATCCTGAGAGGAGAATGGAGGAGAAGGGATTGCAGCATGGTCATCCCCCCAGGGGGTGATTTCTTGCTTTCTTATCTCTCTGTCTCTCTCTGTCTTCTTGGAGAGCATACGCCCTATAGCAAAAACCTCTCAAAAAAAAAAAAAAATCCTATGTAGCAATCTCTACTAAAACTGAACATACATGGGGACCAGCAGTTAGCGTAATGGCTATGTCGCTGGACTCCCACATAGTTGACTGGGACTCAAGTCCCAGACCCGGTGGCTTAAATTCACGCCGGGTGCGTGTGTGTGCGTGCATGCCCAAAATCCCAAGAGGAGAATGGAGGAGAAGGGTTTGCGGCGTGGCCATCCCCCCTGGGGGGTGATTTTTCGCTTTCTGTCTCTCTGTCTCTTTTTGTCTATCTGGTGAGCGTACACGCCCTATAGCGAAAACCTCTCCAAACAAACAAACAAACAAACTGAACATACATGTACCTTGCAACCTGGCAATTCCACTCCTAGGCATTTTCCAACAGATGTATATACAGATATGCAGAAAACATATAGAAAAAAAAATTGTCCACAGCAGCAGTACTTATTTATTTATTTAAAGAATTATTTATTTAATTTTACTTATTATTATGAATTTGCTATAGAGCACATGTGCTCATTAGAGAGAGACAGGAGGGGGAGTGAGAACACAAGCCACCAGGTACAGGACTTGAACCGTAGTCAGCCATGTGGGAGTCCAGCCCATTAACCACGACACCACGTGCTGGCACTATTTTTTTTTTTTTTTTGGAGAGGTTCTTTCCTATAGGGCACATGTGCTCACCCGAAAGACAGAGAGAGACAGAGAGACAGAAAGCGAGAAATCACCCCCCCAGAGGGGATGACCACACTGCAATCCCTTCTCCTCCATTCTCCTCTTGGGATCTTGGACACGCACGCACATGTGCCCAGCATGAGTTTAGGCCACCAGGTCTGGGACTCGAACCTTGGTTGACTACATGGGAGTCCAGCGACATAGCCATTACGCTAAATGCTGGTCCCACCTGGCACTATTTTTAAGAAGCCAAAGCAGAAAACAACCCAAGAGTCCACCAGTAGAATGAAAAAAATATAGACTATTGCACAGTGATGAGAACAAGTGCAAGGCAACTTCACATGTATAAATTGCACAATCGCGATGTTGAGAAAAAGAGACAAGACACACGTGAGTACATCGTGTACCGCACTGTGGCTGTTTATCCAAAGCGCAAAGACAAGCAAAGCCTGTGATGGTACAAGCTGGCCTCAGGGGGCAGTGAACTCAATAGGCAAGGGAGAATTTCTGGGTTCTGGAAATAATTGTTTTAATCTTGGAACTCTTTAACTGGTGAAAATTTACAAAGGTGTACACTTATGGCTTGTTGTATGTATGTTATTGTTCAATAAAAATCACATTAAAATGTACTATAAAAGATAATACTCTATAACTCACCAGGGCTAGTTGTTCTAGAGGGTGTGCAAAAACAAAGAAATTGGCGTCTTCCTGGCCCTAATCCATTCTATCTCTTTTTTTAAAAAGAATTATTTTACTTAATTTTATCTACTTATTTTAATTTTCCAGAGAGAGAGAGTGAGAAAGCAAGCTGCCACCAGGTCCAGGATCCAAACCACGGTTGGCCATGTGAGAGTCCAGCACCCTTAACCACCACGCCACCTGCTGGCCCCAAACCTAGTCCATTCTTTTGTAACTTGAACTGTGAAACACTTCTGCTTGAACTACACAAAGTTTCTTGCTAAATCAGTATTTTTTAAAGTAATTATTTTAATATGACCAGAGAGGGACAGAGTGAGAGAGAGAGAGAGGGAAAGTGAGAAAGCGAGCCACCAGGTCTGGGACTCAAACCACAGTTGGCCATGTGGGAGCCCAGCACCCTTAACCACCAAGGACCTGCCAGCCCTGCTAAATCAGTTTTGTCAGTGCTCCTCACCTCTCCGTCCTAAGAAATCATCTCCAGAGCCTTTTCTATGGGACACATGAAGAACTCATAACCTTCCCTTGGATAGTCTCAACGTTCCCTTAGCTAAAACATATTTCCTGTAAAAGGAACCAAGTCTGCATAAATAGAATTATTTTGATCATCAAATCAAGGGTACTACCGTATACATCATTTGCATAAATAGAATTCTGCCTCCAGCATAAACTGATGTTTATGTTATTTATTACAAAAGAATTTGAGCTCATTGGTTTGAGATAACTAAGTAATACATTTTGGGTGTTTTATCCTGAAGAATGAAATTTTTTTCTCTGAGAAATATAGCCATTTCCATCACTTGACAAATAGAAACTTCTTGTAGAGTAAGTAGGTAGTGGAGTTTTTTTTTTTTTTCTTTTTCTGCTTCTATTTATTAAAGTCTCTTAGTAATTTCATGTCGAGAATATTATCTTACAGATAGACTATGAAAGGTGCCCCAGACTATAAAGATGTTTACTGCAACATTGCTTACAAAAGCAAAATAATGGAAACTCCTTACTAGTTTATTAACAGGAAGACCAGTTACTTTAATTTTGGTACCGCTATCCAATAGACATTTCAAAGTAGATCTCTGTTGATATATAAACGGATCTCCAAGGTAAGATGCAAGACAGTACAGAATGTACTAATCACAGTTAAGAAAAAACTTTAAGGGGGTCAGTAGGTGGTGTGGTAAAGGTGCTGGACTCCCACATGGCCAACTGCAGTTTGAGTCCCAGACCTGGTGGCTTATTTTCTTGCTTTCCCTTTCTCTCTCTCTCTCTCTCTCTCTCTCTCTAAAAAAAAAAAAATAATAATATTAATAAATAAAATTAAATAAATAATTCTTTAAAAAATAAGAAAAATTTCAAATGAAAAATATGTATGTATTAATAGTTTTGTTTTTGTAGCAGGTGATTGTGGGACTAGAGTTTTGGGATGAGAGGGAGACTCTTCATTGTTCATCATGGCACATTTGTCTGAGTTATTTTTATTTATAGGCATAAATGTGAAGGTCTGACTTTTACTCTAGACACCCTCCTCGCAGCTGACTCCATGAGGGTGCTCCTGGCCTAGCCTGAGGGTACAATAGGAAGAGAACTAAACTGTGGGCTGGAATCCACACAGTCAACGGCAGGGTGGGATCCCCACTCCCATTTACCTGAAATATCTGAAACATGCCCTGTGATTGGCAAATACCCAGGACCCCAAGGAGCTGGAGAGCTGGGGAAAGGGGGTTTCAGTGTGAGATCTTGTCAAGGGTCCCTCTTTTGCTCTAGCTCTCCTTTTTCTCTGTCACACTCACACACACACATGCTCTCTATCACGAATAAAGTAAATTCTTTTAAAAGGATCCTCATGTGATGTTTTGAGTGTATTGTCTTAATTCTTTTTTTTTATTAGAGGCTTTTGCTTTAGGCACGTGCACTCATCGGAGAGAAAGACAGAGACAGTGAGAGGGAAAGTAAGAAACCACCCCCCCAGGGGAAATGGCCACACTACAATTCCTTCTCCATTCTCCTCCTGAGATCTTGGGTATGCATGCATGCGCCCAGTGTGATTTTCTTTTTTCCTTTTTTGGGGGGAGAGGTTTTTGCTCTAGGGTGTGTGTGTGCTCGCCAGAAAGACAGAGAGAGACAAGAGAGATAGAAAGTGAGAAATCACCCCCCAGGGGGGATGGCCACACCGCAATCCCTTCTCCTCCATTCTCCTCTCAGGATCTTGGGCATACATGCACAAGCACCCGGAGTAAGTTCAAGCCACCGGGTCTGGGACTCGAACTGCGGTCAGCTACATGGGAGTTCAGCAACATAGTCATTATGCTAACTGCTGGTCCCCCCAGTGTGATTTTCAAGTCACCAGTCCAGGACTCAAATTGCAGTTGCCTCAGGAGTCCAGTGACTTAACAGCTACTCCATCAGCTGTCCCCAACTGAATTCTTTTTAAGGGATCCTCATACGATGTTTTGAGTATATTGATTTAATTCAGCTGGTAGATACATGGAGCTGAGACTGACGTAGATACATCAATACACACTTCTGATAGCCAGAAACAGAAAACACAAAGGAAGTTGTGATTTGCGGCCCTCCTGCTCCATGCACATTTACCTCTGTGGACTTCCAGCTGTACCGGGTCGCTTGGCGCTGAGTCACCTGTCTGGCAGCTGTATTCCCCACTGTCCTCAAAACTGGCGGCAGTGATGCTGTGTCTGGGAGCCAAGGTCTGCATGGTTGTGCCGTTGAGAAGCCACCGTGTAGAGTTGGACCCAGGCAGACGGGGCCCCTCGCACCACAAGGTCACCTTTTCCCCTTGGAACACATTGACCCATGGAGGCTGCAAGGTGATCCTTGCCTTTGTGGGGTCTGCTTGAGGATTGAAAAGGAAAACAAAACAAGTGGATTACAAGAAGGGCTTATGGTAAGGCTTCATGGACAGCACAAGGGGAAACTGCATATTTAGGGTAGTTTGAAAAATAGACAAGTGGGAATTTACGAAAGCCAGCCTTTAAGAGTGTCCAGACTTGGGGGGCTGGCAGGTGGCATAGTGGTTAAGGGTGCCAGACTCTCACATGGCTAACCGCAGTTCAAGTCCTGGGCCTGGCGGCTTGCTTTCTCACTTCCCTGCTCCCCATGTCCCTCTGATCAAATTAAAATAAATAAATAAAGTTAAATAAAATAATTCTTAAAAAAAAAAAGAGTGTCCTGACTCAGAACCAGCAAATGGCATATGTTTACGTCACTAGACTCCCACATGGCTGACCGCAGTTTGATTCCCAGACCCAGAGGCTTGAAACATACTGTGCATGTGTGCGTGTGTGCCCAAGATCTCGGGAGGAGAATGGAGGACAAGGGATTGTAGTGCAGCCATCCCCCCTAAGGGGGTGATTTCTTGCTTTCTGTCTCTCTGTCTCTCTGTGTCTCCAGCGAGCACATCTCCAGAGAGCGCATGCATCAGATAACAAAAATCTCTCTCTCAAAAAAAAGTATCCAGGGAACCAGCAGTTAGCGTAATGGCTATGTCGCTGGACTCCCATGTAGTTGACCGTGGTTCGTGTCCTGGACCCGGTGGCTTAAAAAACTCACGCCGGGGTGTGTGTGTGGGGGGGAACCAGCAGTTAGCGTAATGGCTATGTCGCTGGATTCCCACGTAGTCGACCGCGGTTCGTGTCCCGGACCCGGTGGCTTAAAAAACTCACGCCGGGCGCGCGTGCGTGCGTGCCCAAGATCCCGAGAGGAGAATGGAGGCGAGGGGATTGCGGCCCTGGCCATCCCCCTGTGGGGTGACTTCTTTCTTTTTCTTTCTCCATCTCTTTCTGTCTCTCCAGTGAGTGCATGCACCCCTATTGAAAAAAAAAATCCAAAAGTAAATAAATAAAAGTAAAAGAAAGAAATGCAGAATCTCAGACCTCTGTCCAGACTGTTGAGGGATCCAGACTGTTGCTGAAGTCTCTTATGTTATTAAATCTTCATCTGGGTGTTGGGCATTTTGGGTTCAGTAATCAGATTAGATTAGATGACTGACTCAGGACTCTCTGTTGGTAATTAATGAAACAGGGCTATATATTAGAGCAATCTGACTGGAGCTGATTTCCTTACTACCTATGTATGCTGTCTCTGAGGATAAAGCACAGACCTTCATTAGCCTTCATTAAAAACAGAGCCTCAGGCTTCTCCCCTGGAAGTCTTCGGTATCTGTCTGGCTCTCTCTAGGAAGAAAAACACACTGATCTTTATTGTAAAGGGGACTAGTTGGAGCTGTTGGGAAAGCCAGTGGGGCTGCTTCTGTGTTTTGCAATCCTGACCTTTTCCTGTTACTAAATATACACTTAAGCATTTAATTCAATGGTCAGGGCTCATCAGCGACAAATCTTAAAAATCAGGATTTTATCAAAACCACACTTAATGTGCGGGATTTTACATAATTATCATTTTCTTTTCTATCCTCTCCCTACATCTCTTCTGGTTAATAAGACTCATCTTGGGGAGTAGGAAAGTGGCAGAGGAAGAGAAAATGAGTTGGCGATCACTCACCCACTTGTCCACCAGCTGGAACTGCAAAAGAGCAGAGAGCAGAGACATCGGTTGGTCAGTGGGAAGTGAAAAAGAAGGGAAAATAGGGCCTTAGAGAGGCCGGTGTAGTTCTCTCGAATTTCTTTGTAACCCTCTTTCCCAAATCGGGTACAGCACAGCTGAACAAGCTACAGGTGATTATTGAGAAGGCTTTATTTTCATACGAGACTTCCTGGCTTAAGGCTACTTCAGGATCTCCCTTCCCGTCCCTTTGGTATAATAAGCACCTACACACTGTGGAAGCGCAGACACAGTTGTCCGATATTCATGAGTTCTAGCTAAAGATACCAAAGGGAAAATTCTTCACTGCCTATGGCTATAAATTTCCATCCACCCCCTCTGCATCCAACTTACCCCAAAGGAACAGAGCTGTCAAGAGCCACATGTTCTCCGCAAGCTGGTGGAGCGGTGAAATCTGTAACATGCAAGACATTGAAGAGGTTCTGCTGGGGGCTCAGGAGCCAAGATTAGAAAAGAGGAAGGAAATTGCCTCTTCTGATTACTGTCTTCATCTTCCTTTTCTGGGAGACACATCCCTAATTTTTGAAGCACAGTCTCCTCATTCTCCTATGTCTTAGCCCGTCTTTACCAGTTTGAAACTGAGGTAATGGGGGGATGGACTCTCAGAAATCAGGGGAGGGCTAAACTTCAATTGCCATTCTATTCTGATTATATTCTAGCTCTACCATTTCTGATTTTTAGGGCTAGAATATAACAAAACCCGCTTTCATAATTAGTTCAAGGCCAGATTCATGTCTCCCAACATGATCGTTAGAATCCAGAAGATTCTAATCAGCTTTCATGAGGCATGTGAAGAGTTACTATCTACAAGAGCACTCCAGCCTCTTTCTCTGGGTAAATCTGAGCAGAACCGAGCTCCTATTTTGGTAAATAAAGAAAGAAAGGAAAGAAAAAAAGCCATGTTCTTGAAAGTCATTATGAATCCAGAGTGCTTATATCAGTTAAACCCAAGGAAATTAAATATTTAATGTCATTTTTTTAAAAGAGATTTTTGCCTTAGGGTGTATGCACTCTCAGGGGAGAGAGACAGAGAGACAGAGACAGTGAGAGGGAATGTGAGAAATCATCCCCCAGGGGGGATGGTCACCCACAATCTTTTCTCCTTCATTCTTCTCCCAGGATCTTGGGCATACACCCACCCGCACCCCTGGTGTGATTTTCAAGCCACCAGGTCCGAGACTCAAACCGCAGTTGGCTTTGCGGGAGTCCAGCAACATAACCATTATGCCATCAGCTGGTCCCATTTAATGTATTGTAGAGAAGAAAAATAACTCCTCCATGTGGGTGGAGACATCCCTTAGAAGTGAGTTTCCGTGTACAGGTGGGAAGCTCTGTGCCACCAAGTAAGTTGGTTCCTGAGGTAGAGTTGTAAAGATATCAAAAGATTTCTAGGTGTGCTACGAACAGAGAAAGAGAGCTAAGCAGAAATTTGATGAGTGCAAAGCGACCTGTACTCATTGGCAGAGAATGAAAAATGATGACAAATAATGTTGCAGGTTGGGTGACTGGCTCCAATTTTTCACCAGTTCTACACTGTCTTCACAGCCCTTTAAAAGGCTGAGGGTGCCTCACTGTCTCTTGATTATGACTCATCCATATGCCTTTGACTGGCCAGTGAAGCGTGGATGGAAACAGCATTGTACTAATTTTGAACTTAGAATTCAGGTGTTGTATTTAAATTAGCACGAGAATAAAAGGACATTCAGTTTTAGCCAAGTTAAAGGAGGCTTTATTAAGCTAGTGGCTGTGGGAGGACCCAAGTCACTCTAAAACCCTGCAGCCCCAAAGTGGAGGGGAGGAAGTTTTACAAAGGCAAAAACTGCAAAGGCAAAGAAAAACATAAACTGAACAAACTGTAAGCCTTGAGTCATGTGAGAGCCATTTACAAAAGCTCAAAAAGCGAGTTATCAGGAAGGACAATTAAGGATGACAGTGTCTGTCAGTGATAAACATTCAGTGGGAAATGTTTAGGAGGCACATATGTATGGTCAGGTCACGGGGAAGGGGAAATGGCTTCAAAATGGAGATGCTGGGACCAGCAGTTAGTGTAATGGCTATGTCGCTGAATTCCCAGGTAGTCAACCGCATGTTCGAGTCCTGGACCTGGTGGCTTAAACTCACGCCAGGCACGTGTGCATGCGTGCCCAAGATCCCGAGAGGAGAAAGGAGGAGAAGGGATTGCGGCATGGCCATCCCCCCACCCCGGAGGGTGATTTCTCGCTTTCTGTCTCTGTCTTGTTTTTTCGTGTGAGCGCGGTTGCCCTAAAGCAAAAACCCCTCAAAAAAAAAAAAAAAAAAAAAGAAAAAAAGAAAATGGAAATGGTCGTGCTTCATTCCCCGCTTCTCTTTTATGGAGATTGAATACTTGATTTTTTCAGTACTAGCTGGGGGAAATGGTGATCGTCTCTCTCTTTTTAAATTTTTATTTATTTAACTTTATTTATGCATTCAGTTATTTTAATTTGACCAGAGAGAGAGAGAAAGAGAGAAAGGGACAAAGGAAGCCGCCAGGTCCAGGAGTTGAACCATGGTCAGCCACGTGGGAGTGTCCAGCACCTTAACCACCACGCCACCTGCTGGTCCCGATCGTCTCTTTTTAAGAAGTTTAACTGAATTTAAGCACGGTAAGGTCTAGTTTGAACTGACTCGCCATGATTTTATGGTCTGTAGTTATCATGGATGGGAGTGTCTGGTCGGACTGGCTTGGGGCCAGTATTTGTGGTATGCAGTCATTGTGCTCAGTTGCTTGCAGGGAGATTGTGATATAGTATTTTTTAACATAATGTAAGCAGTTGATAGAAGCAGAAAAACATTTCGTTAGATACTAATGAAAATAACAATATTTTCCACAAAACAGAAACCAGGGCTGAAAGTCAAAATTAGAAACACGGTTGATTAAAGAAGAAACAAGTGCAAGAGTTAAGGAGCCTACTGCCAGAGGTCAGTCTCATTTTTTGATAAGTTAACAGCAGCCTTTTTTTTTGGTTGTCTAGTTGTTGAGTCTCTTTTTAGCTGTGTGGGAGGGATTGATTTTACGTGGCTAAGGGACTTCTTTTGAGCTAAAGGCACCGAACTACGGTGAGATTTTTTCACAAGTAACAGGAGAACACCAGCAGGAGCCCTCTGTCCCATCTTTAATCAGTTAGAGCTGTGATAGTCAGACCTTTAGTAAAAACCAAAGTAATTATAACAAGGAGGGTCATGATAAAGGCGTTATTACAAATGGTCTGGGAGCATTCAGGTCAGTCTATGTGCCGTCTCAGTCTTCTGCTTGTGCATAGATTGGTCGGCTTCTCCAGTGACCAAAGCAGAACTGTAGTCCTCTCAGGTCTCTGAGGGGCAGTCATGGCTTGTGTTTTCTAGATGGTCAAGCTGAGATTATAAAGTGAAGGCTGGTCAACTCAGAAAGGCCCGATGGATACAAAAGAAAACCTCTTGCTAACAATGAGTCAAAAAGGTTTTGACTCATCTATTACAAAGATACCACGCCAGGGACAGGATGTAGGAAGAATAAGTCCTATTATCAAATGGGCCAAAATGGTCTGCCACTGTTTGTGGGCGTGGCTCAGCCCAGACCCTATGGAAGAGGTTTTGGAAACAGGAAAGAGCAGTCAGACTTTTGTGCTTAGTTTTCTCTGTTGGTCAACTATTATTTCTCATGGCGCTAGGAAGGCTCATTCCTAGGAGTCAAGTCTCAGAGAACTAAGAAGGTTTATTTTTAGGAGTTGTCAATCAATTATTTGTTGTTATAGGCAGTAGAGTCCTGGGAGAGGACATGTCTGGCTGGTTTAATAGGCAGTTGTCTCTGAACAAGGGAACGCGTCAG